CAACCAAAAAAAAAAAAAAAAAAAAAGTGATGATGTTAAGGTGTGTCATTTATTGCCTCTTTATGCTACCCTATTTCCCAGATTAGTCCTGTGAAATCTAGTGGTTCTCAGCCTCCTCCTTGCCCTGCATCAGGGCTTCCAGTTGTCATTGCTAAAGAAAGGAAGAACCATAATTGAAACAGCTTTATAAGATTTTTAAATATCCCCAAGTTCGTGATTTTTGTTATCCCTGATCGGAATCCCAATATAAATAGCAATCAAATTATTAAAATAAAAAAGGCCTAGGCACAAACTTCTAGTTATAAGTCCTGGAGATAAACTATACAGGATGGTGACAATAGCTGTGTTGTATATTTGGAAGTTGCTAAGAGTAGATTTTGAAAGTTCTCATCACAAGAAAAAAAAATTATAATGTGTGGTTATAAATGTGAACTTACTGTGCAGATCATTTTGCAATATAAACATAGAGTGAATCATCATCTTATAACCCTAAAACTAATATAATGTTATATGAAAACTGTATCTCAGTTTTGTATTCTTTTTGAATAACAGTAATATGGGGAGCAGGGGCACACACCTATGTTCTACTTTTTAGGCAGTTTTGTGAAGAAATGTACCCCAGTAGTCAGGGAAGGTGGTAGCAAGCATCAGAGAGAAAACAAGCAGGCTGAGCCACTAAGGCCTAGGAGAAGAAAAAGGCACAGGTAAGGGCCCCAGAAAGGCCTCCTTAAGTGAACCCCTTTGGTTCCACCATTACCCCAATTCATCCTATACATCTTCACACCAGAGTGACCTTCCAAAAGCACAAATCTGATCCTGTTTCTTCCTGTTCCCCATTCAGTGGGTACCCTTCACCTGTAGGACTAAGTCCAGACTCCCATGCACGTATCTCATTCCTGACAGGTTTATCAGTACCATCGCCCACCACTCTGTTCAGACATCTATGGTCTAGCTATATAAATACTGCCCGTGCCCTAAAAAAGAATACCACTGCGAACTTTCACAGATATGCATTGTCCTTTTTGTGTTTGTTTGTTGTTGTTGTTTTTAATATCTTTTATTCATTTCGGAGAGAGAGGAAGGGAGAGGGAGAGAGAGAAACATCAACGATGAGAGAGTCACTGATGGGCCGCCCTCTGCAAGACCCACACCGGGGATCGAGCCAGCAACCTGGGCATGTGCCCTGACCAGAAATCGAACCAAGATCTCCTGGATCATAGGTAGCCACTCAACTGCTGAGCCACACCTGGCTGAGCTGCACTGTCCTTCTTGAAAGGAAGCATCAAAAAGGGAACCAGCCCCGATGTGACTCAACAGTTAGAGAACCAATCCAAGTATCTTAGGGTCACTTAATTCCCCTTCAAGGGCACATACCTGGGTTGCAGGTTCAATCCCCGGCCCTGGTCGGGGTTCATGTGGGAGGCAACTAATCAATGTCTCTCACATTGATGTTTTTCTCTCTCTCTCCCCCCTCCTTCACTCTCTCTAAAAAGCAATAGAAAAAAATATCCTCTAGTGAGGATTTTTTTAAAAGGGGGGGG